ATAGATCATAACTTCTGTTAGTAGCTCTCAAGACTAGAGTGCTTGTTTAATTTATTGTGTGGTGGACTGAAAGTCTCCAATTAAGAGTGAACAGGATGTTTTCATTTTGCTTGGTCACATTAATCAAATATGAAGTGGTAATCATTTTAAGGGGATTGTCCTGGGTATCTTAAATTATTGCGCAGCATTAGCTGATTTTACCAATTACAGAGGATTTTGTCTTGCTCTAATTCAGAAAGGCAAATTAATCAGTCAGAGAATAAAGACAGGGACTGTGTATCAGACACAGGCTTCTGCTTCTTCCCAAATAGTATCCATGTAATTACACAGGAAACAAGCTCTTTACTGTTTAATTAGCCCAGCGAAGACAAGATGTAGATTTAAAAAAAAAGTAATTGTGTTCACATCCAACCTTCTAGCAGGTGCAGGACAAAAGGAACTTAATAAAGTGAAAAAAACACCTTTTGAGATGTATAAGTTTGTATGTAGGTGTTTTCTTAATTGAGTAATGTGTGGGGCTATTTGACGGAAGGCCAAAACGGAGAGAAAAATAATAAATAGTTTCAAACGAAAATGTATTAGTGTGGACATGGCCTTAGCTTGTTTAGACCTAATCAAACTAATTGAAATCACATGACATGGTGAGTAAGGCCTATATAAATCCCTTCATCAAATGTGATGGAACTATACTCACATATTGCCTTTACCGGAAGCAAGTGATTATAGTTATAAAGTTATAAATAGGGATATTTTTCTTACAATATGCATTGCTTCACCTCATTAGCCTTTATTAAAAATCCCCTGGAACCGTATGGATTACTTATGATGGATGGATGCGCTTTTAGGGCTTCAAAATCCAAGTTACCATTCACTCCCATTATAAAGCTGGAAAGCGCCAGGATATTTTTTATATATAACTCTGATTGTGTTTGGCTCAAAAAAGAAAGTCATATATACCTAGGATGGCTTGAGGGTGAGTAAATTATGGGAACATTAAAAAAAACCCTTTAGAATATGTCAAAAAGAAGCACTCATTGTCAGCATCTATATCTTTGATTGTTTTTTTTAAATGTTTTTTTAGCAGTGTCACATATGCACATAACAGCATCTGCACCTGTTGACAGTTACAGCGATTATGTTATTCACCCAGTATGCTTCTCTGCATGAAAAACATGCTTATTGGGAAGGACTTCTCAAATCAATATGACGAAGATGTGATTCTACCATTCGGTGGGATGAAACACAGTCACAGCTCCATCTGGCCTCAGAATAATGTGCTTATGACAAGTGTCATTCAGAAGATGCTTTATATGTTTAATAACAATAAAATCTTGTAAGCATCATGTAAATCTGAGTTTTTGTCCTAGCTGCAAACATGTTATGACAGGATATTATAATGAGTGTTTGGTTTGTATATTTGCTGCTTCAAGCTGGGGAAGCCCCATCCATTGTTACATCTCATTGGTCCAAATTCATTGATTTGATCCACATCGTACAGCAGTTTCATGTTCAGTGTGGACAGACAAATTGCTTGTCACTTTTGGAGAATAACACAAATTTACTTGTGTTATGTGCATCTGAAAAGGCATTATGGAGATGGTGATTTTAGTATCTCTCTGGTACTCTCATCTGATTGGGAAACCAAACCAAGAAAGCTCAAGTCATTAGACTGCCATTGGCAAATTCTATCATACCGATGCAACCTAAATAAGCAGCTCGTGCAAAATTTAGGATCACCTTGAATCAAAATCACAGTGGCTTTTATTATCAATGTTTCAATAGTATGAGCGTCTATTTGTCTAAAAAGGCTGTTAAAAGGTCCCAACTGGAGAAAGAGATTATCTGTCAGCCATTTTTAATTTCTTTCATTTGATTAGGCATTTAAGATAATAATGCACTCACTGCCAATAAATTAATACGATTTGAAATATGCCATGGGTGCTCTGGACAAATTTGAAGTAATACATGTCTTATATTAAATTGAATATTAGCAATATTCTTTGCTAAACAATTCTTAGTCAGAATACTTATGGTTAATTTTGAGATAACCATAATGGAGAAACATCTTTTTGTTCAATGAGTGCGTATATGCTTGTCATGTTTATTAGGCAAACCTTGACATTTTGATCTAACCAACCAAGTTTAAGTGTGACAACATTTTCGTTTTTGGGTGACCTATCCCTAAGTGCAGTTCATGATTGATTTGTTTTGGCTATACTGAGTTTTGTTGGTGCTGTTGGGCAGACAGAGCTCCTGTAGCGATCTTCATTGATATCTGCAATGTGAGTGTCTGGATGTGTGCCTTATAGTCTAGCACCGCATTTTCCCTTAATTTTGGCTGGCAGCCTTTGATAAACACTCTCTGTTTTCTGTGTATAAACAGGGAGTCATTGCATGATGGATCCACTCATTAATCTCTATGCTTGTTTTGTTTTTTATTGATGGATACTCAAGAGACCCGTGTACAGTTTAAAAAGGGGTCACCAGGTGCAACTCAGGGCAAGTATGCATGCATAACAAACGCATTATAGTAAAAAGTCCTTTTTCAGTCTGACAAAGAGCAAGACACAAGAAAAGAGAGATTCCCTTAGTATTGTGTCCCTCCTTTGTTGTTTCGACACTGTTGTTTGCTTATGCACAGAGGTATTTTTAGCTCTTATCATGACTCACTTCCCTTTGATAGTACTAAAACAAGAGCCAAAATAATTAAAACTGGGGTAATTCTTTATCTGACAAAATCCACACACTTGAGCTCATGCATGATGCCTGTAAGGTATGAGTCAGAAATAGCCATAGAAATCCTGCCATCAGCAGTACAAGTCTTCACAATGAAAAATAAAGAGGGGATTGTGCATGCAAACAAAAGGTGACTGAGCGATTCAGAACTCACTCTCCATTCAAAAGTGTTGGCTCATTCAGAAGATTTCTGATGTAATGGAGAACATTGGACAATTGGAGAAGTGTACGCAACAACACTGTCAAGTGTAGCCTATAGACTGTTTTATTAATGTCTCACATGGGTTCATTTCAATGCGTCTGTTCTCCTGTGCAGACATTTGCGATGTCCCCTATAGAAACAGGAAGAGTTGGTGATGTGTGTCTGTGTGTATATGTATGTATATATAAGTAACTTTTTTGAAAATTACTTTATATATTATATTTAAGATTTGTATAATTTCTGATTATATATTGAGTATTTAATATAAACGTAATTTTATGTGTGTATATATATATATATATATATATATATATATATATATATTAGGACTGTCAAACGATTAATCGTGATTAATCGCATCCAAAATAAAAGTTTGTGTTTACATAATACATGTGGTGCACTGTGTATAATTATTTTATACAGTATATATAAATACACACACATTCTTGTATATATTTAAGAAATATTTTCATGTATATACTGTATATAGATTTATATAAATATTTTATATATAAATAATATTTTTTTCTTAAATATACATACATGTGTGTGTCTTTATATATATATATACTGTATATATATATATATATATACACACAAAATAATCATACACAGTGCACCCACATATATTTTGTAAACACAAACTTATTTTGGATGCGATTAATTGCGATTAATCGTTTGACAGCCCTAATATATACAGTATATATATATATATTTCTAAACAGTTTTTATGTGTAATATCTCAAACATATATATGTATTTTATTTGTAATGCAAAATAGTGTCACGACTGCCAGGGGCCTCTAAAGCCTCAGGCTGTGTGCCTTACACTGTCAAATAAAGTTTAACACTTGGGCTCCTAGTGCAAGACCATTTTGGCCTCTGGGACATTAAGCAGTAGCTGACCACTTGGACCCCCAGGCACTGCTACACTTTCTGTGTAAGCTTATTAGGATGCCACTACTATTTTTAGTTGTCTTATGTTAGTGTACCAAATCAAGTGTTTTTAAAAGCAAGCAGAGCAAGGGTCCTCGCAGAACCATGAGTGTAAACTGTCATATTCATTAGAGAGCAAAATAGTGTTTTTTTATGACTAAATTTTCAAGCAGAAACCACAACGCTATCTGTTTAGAAAGGGGCCTAAGTGACATGTAAAAGCTCAGTGTTTCAGCAACTGCGTTTACTATCGCCTGTTTGTTCACAGCAACAGACAGACGAGGTACCTGATGATCGTGAATCCTCGTGTGAAAAATACCCCCTAGTCTGAGGCAAATGATTTCAAACAAACGCTGAGTGACAGTCCGTGGGCAGAAAATGACACACCGTGGGAGAGAAGAGAGAGAGACCTACAGGAGACACACACAGAGAGAAAGACAAAATAAAAGTACAAGAGAGAGACAGAGAGAGAACAAGAGAAATTGTGGGGGAGAGTCATTCTCTGTCATTCATTCACACTCCAGAGAATGACTTCAGGGAAGGAATAAAAGAGCAGGGGCATAACTAGGTCCTTTTAAGGAGGGTTTTATATCCCCCCCCCCCCCCCCCAGCCCCTATAAAAAATGTTGATTAACTCTGTAATATATACACTAATTCGTGATCACCTCAGTCCCCTTTAAAACTCATATGAAACCGGCGACATGCTTCGTCTCATCTCCATAATTTAGTCTGTGTTATTCAGCGTGTTCTTCAACCCGTAGCAGTGCAACGCCATGCAGAGGACAACGTGTGTTCATTTATTAATAGATTGTTATGATATCTGCATTGGTGTTTCATGTAATTTTTATGTTAAAAGTGTTTGTTTTCCACCAGATGACAGAAATCCTCCTAAAGCATGGCATATTTTCCATGTTATCTCAATGAATGAAAATTATAAATGTAGATCTTCTTTAAAGATATTTTTTTAAATCATTGGGTGCTGAGACCCCCTAATATTGAATTCAGGATATGATTCATTTTCATACCCCTGTCAGAGTATGATTAATTTTTGTTACCCTCTGATGGGTGAAAAAAGCTTTACAAAGCAGAAAGGAACTGATTCTAGCAACTCCACTTTTCCCTTTCAGATCTTGTGGACAGTGTTTGAGAGTGTGTGTGCATATGTGTGTGCGTGTGTGAGGGCGCGCGTGAAAGTGTGTGTGTTAGCACTTCCACATGGCCTCCATGCAGGACGGGGTGAACTTCTCTGCTCATCCCTACGGCAAAGTACTGCTGCTGGGGGCCATCGCCGCCGCCTCAGCCTTCGTTGTCACCATTCTCATCGTCGTGCTATGTGTGGGCTGCCAGAGGTGAGTTGCACACTAACACACATATGCTCATATAAAATGCTCTAATTTCATGTCTTCTCCGGTTGTTTGTTTAGATTCATATTCAGGGGTGATTGCTTGTTTAAACCCCTAACCTAAGTATAGTGCATAACTCTTTTGTGCATAACCTGCTTTTGTGTTGCATACATAATACCTCAAATCATGGGTGACACTTTACTTGAAGAGACTGACATGATGACACCCTCATAACCATGACATGACATATGTCTTAAATATGAAGTAGGGTTTTTGCATGTTTATGACAACTGTCATTACCAAGGTCTTTTATAGAGTTTATTCAAAACTGACATTGAAGTTCACCCACTCCTCTTTTATGCTCACCGGGTAATGGCGGGGAGGTCATTTTGACATGGCAGTTATGTTTAAACAGGAAGTGCCTGTTTATTTATTTCTTTACTTTTCCATCTCTCTCTCTCTTGTTCCACCGATGATAGCACAGAAGGTGCTGTATGAATGCCCCATTTTGTCAAATCACGAAAATGATGCGTCTGGTAGTGGCAGGACAAAGAAAAAGAATTAGGGGGCATCAGAGGGATAGAGGAAATTCAGATCCTGTGGGGAAAAAGTAAATGAAAAAACTTGAGAAGGTGTATAGAGACTAGATAGTAGGAGCTCTTCTTAATATTGGACATTTTCAGTTTTCTAGCTTAATAAGTGTGAGATATTACTCCTGATAAGCCTACTAAACAAATTACTACTGACCACCTATTCAGGTCAAGCTTGCAAACAAAATATTGTTTAGAGCTTTCAAATATACTAAACACTGTAGTCAAAGACGAACCTTACTAAAAAGTTACTAACATAAGATTTCATATATAAGAATTATTGCATTTAAAGGTCTATAATGTGCGGCTCATAAAGGAATAGTTCACCCAAAAAATGAAAATTGAAACAGTTCATAAAACCAGTCTGAATGATTCATTTATGATTCAGACTGATCCAGTTCTTACTGACTCGTTTATTCAGTGACCAATGTAGGGGAAGATTGTAAATATCGGTCTATTTGTCACACATAGCAATAAAATAATAGTGCACGCGTAGTAGGGACAACTGCTTTTGTGTCCTTTTCAAAGCCCATATATTGTAACTACATGAAAAAACCCCACAATATAATATTTTAAGCAAGGCAAAATTGAAGCTTATGTGATAACTTTTCTTTAACCTTCCACATAATTCATATCATGTTTTTTAAGTCTTGAACGAGATAAATATATGGGTCTAAAAAGCTGTTGTAGACTATATTTTACTCCAAAATGTTTTTTTGAGTAGGATAAATGTTCTTGCGTGGTATTGCACTGTTTTTTATTCTGTTATTTCTTAAAAACAAATATCAGTGATTCACTGTAATCTCAATAATAGCTTTAGTACTTTACAAAATCCATTTTGGAGGGCAGATTCCTGATACCTACTCTGTTCCTGTAATCTTATCAAAGCAATGCTAGGCAATCAGAAGAGAATGACAGACATGCTTTTCCAAGAATAAACAGATGTCTGGTCAAATTTGGCAGAACATTCTGGGCAATGGGTCTGGATCTGGGCACTGTGTACGGGTGAGAGAGGAAAGTTTAGATTCTGGAGTCACCGAAAGACATTCATGTTTGTGCACTTCTTGTCTGTTTATGAAGAAATGAATCTTCGGCATCTATTTAACTATTTTAGTGATGTTTGAATTGTATTATGTTGAATATTCTGTGTTTTGGCCTGAACACCGTCACTATGCAGTCACTCAGATGCCTGTTAATTATCCAGTGAAAGCCTTCTGTTGTTTAAAATGCCAATCTGGACTCATTTCGAGGACAGTTCATCTTGAATACACTTGCACAGTTACTACTTCTGATCAAATGACTTAATTCAAACAGTTCATGAAAAACAGCTGCCTTGAGTCCTTCAAGTAGCCTAATTGAATTGAAATGTGCATTTTCTTCCTGCACAAGATAAACAGTTGGAGCTACTAAAGTAAATTAAATCAGGGGGCTCAAATGAGTCAGCGCATTCCGTCTCCATAAATCCATGGATAAATGAAGCATTTGAAGTTTGAACCTAACATTCTAAAATGTTTGATTTGGGATCTGATTCACATCTCTCTCATTGTGTCCTGCAGAAAGGGGAAGACACACAATGGCCCTGGAGAGGAGAGGAAGCACAGGCTCATGGACATGGTGAGAATTTTTTTGAAGTCTCTTCAGGGTCTCATTCTCTAATAATTGCACACAAGTTGTACATATGCTTATCCATTTAGTTACCCACTAGTTTATAAATGTATAATGTAATGTATATGTTGTTTTGGAAAAAAGTCTCTTAAGCATTAATTTGATAAAATAAAAGTGTAAAATATCATTACTTATGTATAATTACTGTTTTTTTTTTTTTAATATATTTTAAAATGTAATTTATTTAGCAGTAATCCCTCTAGTCTTCAATGTCTCATGACCTCTCAGAAATTATTCTAATATGCTGATTTGGTGCTCAAGAAAGACTTACCGGTAGTATTTTTCTGAAAACTGATAAAATTTCAGGAACTTTAATATAAGTTTCTAAGAACAGCATTTATTTCAAATATAAGTGTTTTGTAACATTATATACAAAGTAAATGTCATTATTTTCATCAATTTAATGTGTCCTTGCTAAATAAAAGTATTAATTTCTTTCAAAAAACAAAATCGTACTAATCCCAAACTTTTGTATTTGTATATATATATATATATATATATATAGACAGAAAGAGAGAGTATTCTAAACTGCAACCTTATTGATATATCATGAATTCTGTATGAAAACATTTACAGACAGGTTTTTTTTTGCACATGCATGGCTAGTGAATGAAATCCTTTCTTCTTCCTTGCAATCAATTCCTTCTTTTCTACGTATTTTCTAAGGAACCCAGGTCTGGGCTCAGTTCCAAGTCAGTTCAAGCAGTTCATGGTTTTGTTTAAGGATTTGAATTCTTTCCACCAACTAGTTTTCAAGTAACAAATTGAAGGCTCCTCCTGAATTTAATTAATCTTCTTAATCGGCTCAGTGGAAATGGATCTGACCTAAACTTTGAATGGATCTCTTAAGCTTTGAATCTAAAACAAAAGCATTTAAGCCATTTCACTTTTTAGCACCACACACAGTAAGACACCCTAATGTGAATGTGTTTATTCCCATGTACTAGCTTGGCCCAACAATATGCCCGACATAGGCTGAATTGGAAAACTGACAATTTAGTTGTATTTGTTTTACGGTGTTATTTTTATTTGAACGCGCATTTTAAGCAGTTTATCTTTGCATCTTTTTTCAGAGTATACTGCGGCAGTCCAAGCTGCGCTCCATCAGTAAGTCAGACACCAAGCTTCATGAGATGAACAGACTCAACTGCAATGGCAAGAGTATGTACTATAAAATCACATCTCTTAAAGCTCTTAAAGTCTCTAGCTCTTCACACATACCTGCAGTTCGGGAGGAAGGTCTGAGCATGGTACCAACTGCATTCTGGTAGTTTCAATGAGGCTATTTTAGTAGATGTAATTACTATTACTCTATAGTGATTGGCATGTGTCTGCTGCCCTTTGCCTCTGCAGTTTTGAGCAAATGTTTTTTATTGTCTCTTTGAAAAAAAAAACCCCAATAGTTTTGCTTCACAGATTTTAAGCTCTCAACTTCAGTTAATATCATGCCGCTCTCTGTAGAATCTTCTAAGAAGAACCGTCCCGCCAGCATGGATCTGCTCCTACTCCCTAGCCGTCGCTCAAACTCCGACCTGCGTTCTCAGGGCCGCCAGTTGCCTCAGATCCCCGCTGGTGAGGATGGGGAACACACATACGCTGAGGTGGGCCGCCGCTCCTCTCCCACACGTGGTTCTGAGGATGCCCGCTATGGCGTCGGAGGTCGAGCTGGGGAGACGGACACCCCCGCCCCACCGGCGGTCCCTGCTAATACCCCAGCTCCACCTGATCCTGACGGCGACTGCTTAGAGGGTGGGATGCCGGAACCTGAGACCATCCCCCAAGTATTAAACACGCCACCTCAACCGCAGGAGACAGTGGAGTACGCCTGCATCAGAAAGGTCCGGAGAGTGGACAAAGCTGCCCAGAAGAGGGACAATGGGACGGAGACCGAGGAAGGGCTTGGACAACAACGACACAGTAGTGGGGACATTCGGCATGCCCCACCTACTCACCCAGCCCCGCCTCCAACACACCCACACAGTCAGAAGATTCCTCGGAAAAACATGGAGGGCTTCAACTTACCGTCTTTCCCCAAGGTATCTACATATCTATCTATGTATATCTACATGCTTATGTATCTGTCTATATCTATAGACCTATAAAGCCTATAAAAAATATATACATTTTCTATTTTAAATTAATTTCTATGAATATTGATTCATTTTCATACAAGTTTATTGGGTTCAAATTGCAATTCTATTTGGTACATTCAAGAACTGAATACGAATTTAAGGATGTTCTTAATTCCATTCTGAATTGTGCATAAAACCACAACCATGATGTTGCTAGCACCATGCTCTACCGTTTGAGTTTCAGTCTATAACCTTCATATACTGTATAACAGTGAACAAGAACAATGCAGTTAATTACTATCAATGCTAAAATGCTATAAATGAATCAAGCCAATCAATTAATTGATTCTCCTACACATACAATCAGCATGTAATTCACTAAGTCATGCAACACTGCAACGGCATTTTGCTGAGACTAACTACTGCACTATATAAAAGCATTGTTGCTCATGAAAACCATTTGTCTTTTCATGACCATTCAAAGCCTTTGATTCTCGCTGTGATTTCCGGTTGCTCTTTAAATTGTGTCTTTAAATGGAATATATTATAAATAGAAGCATGATGGGAATGTCTTCCTGTATTTTTGTGTACCTCAGCACTAGTGTGGACTTGCAACTAAAGTGGGTCTGCAATTAAGTACACTGCAAGTGTACTTCATTATTTCCTCTGTAAGAAAACTGTCCAAATCAATGATACTTGGGAGCATTGTGGCGCATCCACAGCATTAGAGGTGTTGCATGCTCACTGGTACTAAACTATGAGGATGATGCAACCAGCAGAAACGCGGAGTGAAACCTCTCATTCACTGAAACCCAGGCAAACAGCCAGACTCATTAAATGGACCAGTTTTAATGGGAGACAAAGTGAATTCCAATGTTGAACGAAAGAAGCTACAACAACATGCTAATCCCTGCCTTAAAAAATGGCTCTGTGACACACCCCATTGCCCACCTTCCATTTCTCCTGCATAACAATGAGGAGAAAGTGCACAGCAAGCATCAGCCTGTTCCCTTACAGCCTGAGTACAGGAAACACATTTAAGCTCAATATCATTAGATGCAGAAGATGGTTAGACATGAGGGCAGGCATTAACAGGGGGGATTGTAGCCTGATTGTGCTACATAGGCTTATTTTCAGGTAGAGGAGTTTTGAATCGACTCCTCAATTGACCTTTGCAAAGTCTTTGTGGATTTCTCGCATCCAGCTGGATAACTGTGTGACTAATGCTTTTATTCGATTACTTTACTCTAATTAATTTGAAATTTTATCTGCAACAGCTAGAATATATACCCCAAAACTAGGAGTATTTTAGTTAACATATTTTAGTATCCACATTTAGTTTACCTCATGCCATTCCCAACCTGAATTTTTTTGTTTAATAGTATCCTGGCAACTCTTTTCATTATAATGAGTGTAAACAGCTGATTTGTTCACAAATTGGACTCATCTAGTTCTTGAGTTCAACTTACTGACTTGATTCAGTTGCAGTTCATCAGTGGCTAATGACCTAAAATTGAACATGTGTCTCACACAAAGACATTAAAAAGATTCAATATTACATTTATTCATTTACATTTATTCATTTAGCTGACGCTTTAATCCAAAGCGACTTACAATTGCTATATATGTCAGATGTCGCACGCCTCTGGAGCAACTAGGGGTTAAAGGAGTAGTTCACTTTTAAAAATACTTTTGCTAGTAATTTACTTGGAACTTGTTCATCAAAATGAACGAATCTTTTTCTGAGTCAATTCGTTCATTTCATTCATTGAATGAACCAAATGACATGAAAAAAGATTTGTTCATTTTGATAAACGAGTTCGAACAGGAGAGTCACGAACGTGCATCAAAGAACAGAGCAAGGCATTTGAGCTTATAAAACTTAAACTTTGTTGTTGTTTTTTTTAAATGAGCGATCGTTTCGCTTGATAAGACCCTTATTCATCGCCTGGAATCGTTTAAAGCCCTTTGAACAGTTTGCACTGAAACTGTCTTTTGGACCTTGAACCGTTTGGTTACCAGTAAAGTGCATTATATTTTCATCAAAAACCTTCAAAAATTTCTTTTCGACTGAAGAAAGAAAGACATGGATATCTTGACTTGGATGACATGGGGGTGAGTAAATTATTAGCAAAAGTTTTTTTTAAAATGAACTACTCCTTTAAGTGTCTTGCTCAGGGACACATTGGTGTCTCACAGTGGATTCGAACTTGGTTTTCTCACACCAAAGGCATGTGTCTTATCCACTGCGCCATCACCACCACAATGCTTAATTGCATTATTTAAGTTGTATGGACTTGGTATTTTCTTGTTGCTTTTACACATTTTGAAGCTCCTTTAGTTTTCCATAAAATAAATACTGATTTGAAACAACATGAAGGTGAGTAAATGATATTCCTTTTGTGGTGAACTATTTCTTTAAAACTACTGGTTTAAAACCTGTGAACTGTGCTTAAAGGTCATGATGAATAAGATATGCTGATCTCCACTCCCCAGTGTATATTGTTTGAGTTGGCTCCTTAAACTGTAATATAATATTTATTCTAGTCAATTGTTTTTAATACTTTAGGAGGCAGTGTTTATGGGAAATGGAGAGCAGTACATATGGAAACCTCCGGAAGAGGATGACATCATCTTCCAACACAAGCAGATGGGTATTCTAAGCTCTCATGCAGGAGAGAATATGGCAGCATCTGCAGCAGGGGTGAGTGTGCATTTAGTTTTCCACACAGTCCTGGGACACATCCTCTTCTCATTCTGTGCAGTCAAACAGTCTTGTAGGGTACTATACAATCTAGAAACATTGTAGATGATCCCAGAGCACTTGCTTACCCCTATACAAACACTGTTTCAGAGTTAACTAGAAGCAGCTGTAACATGTGTATTCTTAAAAGACCAAACATTTGGAGTCAAAGATATATACACAGACTTTCCACTCACAAATACATTTCAGATGGTTTGTCTCTTTATTGTTATGTAGATCACAGAGATGTATTCGAAAGTCTGCAAACCAGGCAAAAAGAAGCGAGGCGTGCCTGGCTCGCCACCCGCTGCGAGGGACATCAGCGGCTATAGGACCTTGGCTCGGGGGGACCGCGGTGAGCGTGATGGGGGTTTCAGCGTGGTAGTCAAACCCCAAACATGGGCACCGCAGGAGGGTAAAGGCTCGAGAGCGCCACCCGGCTGCATGGAGGACCACTGCTACGAAGCCATCAGCACCGAGGAAACAGACCTGGCTTACGAGACCATGGAGGGTGGGGGAGGCTGGAGGCGAGACAGGCCTCCGCCCAATGCCAGCGCCACCTTGCGACCCAAGCGGAAGAGGCCCCAGCAGCCCTTACAACAACCACCGCCACCCCCCCCACCCCCCCAGCAGACCCCCAAACTACAGCATCTCCCGGCCAAAGCAATGCTGATGCCCGGGGAGAGCCTGTATGAGAGCATCCCTGACCTGAAGCAGGGCTCGGCAACCTCCAGCACAACCACCATCTTTACTTTTAATGACGGTATGGAGATGTATGTCACTGGCCTGTAGGGGGCGCTCTAGTAAAGGGAACTTTCCTTTCTAGGGCTTGAATTTTGAATTGGGACATGCACACGTGTTGTAACCCAATGGGATACGCGCATTGTGCCACTGCTATATATTTTACATGGGTTCCAAGTATTAGTTGAGCATTAATTGAGTTTTGTAAGTCTAGTTAAAGGTCAGTATTTTCGCAGCACAAAATGATAGATTGAAATGATTTCGATTAGTCACACACCTCATCACGAGGAAGAAAAATAGTCACCAGCCATGAGATAGTACCACAGACAAAACATATCACACCTAACAGTAGCATTCCTGTAGAGGGAATTCTTGTTTATTTGTCATTAAATGTTGTATTTTCGAACAAAGTGACCATCGGAATTGCGGGTCAAACTCGTATTTGATGCCTAGAAAATCCCAAAGGAGAAAAAAAAACGAGCACAAGCCAATTACAAAAGCAACGTCTCAAAAAGCACAGTCTAATTGTGTTTCACAGCCCTCTGAGGAAATTCTTTTGATTCGAAGCAAAGCTCTGTCCCGTTTCAAAAATGAATATATAGAAAGTGAACTTTATCAGAGAGCCAATCAAAAGCTATTGTCAAGCAAAATACCATATATTGACAAAAAGAATTGATCCTATTTTAAAACAGCTAAAAGCTATCTATTATCTAAAAGCTTTAGGAAATACATGGCTCTATTTTTGTAATATCAAAGCCTCTATTTCTGTAAAAAACTAATCACATAATTTTAGAGTTAAAATAAAGATTCTAATTCGATTGGTCAAACAGATCCTGTACGTCAATAAAGTATTTTCTTATAAGCACAAATATTTCATGCTCAGCATGACGTCTGTCGTAGACAGTCCCCTTGTAGAAAATTGAAGAGTAAAAAATTAATAGATGGTAAATTTCAGTTGTCAATAAAGCAAGATCACGGAGGGAATTAGCAAAAGCTCAGGGACAGTGAAGAAAAATATTAAATAATTGCACACAAAAATGTTATGACATATATGACAGGAGACCCCCAATGTCTTTTCATGTTATTTTTTTGTTTTGGTCATACATCAATTCAAACTGTCACATGAGTCACCACAGTGCTTCAGTGCAGTAAAATAAGTGTTTTTTTTGTCAATAATGTTTATGCACTTTGCCTGATTAAAAAGATGCATGCTTTCAAGAAGAAAAAAACCCTTGTAAAGGGATAAAAAAAAAAAAAGAAAGTAAAGTGAAACTAGCACTGTCCTGTGGTATCAGAGAATGGTTTATTTCTTGCTGTTGTTGGTGGATTGTTTGATTTATATGCCTTTTTCTTCATCTGAGAAAGAGCACAAAGTGAATCGCTTCAGGACTGGGGAGACCAATGATGACCCGAGGAGGACTCTCTAAATAAAAAAACTGGACAGTTAGGAATATAACACAATTGGTCAGAAGAAATGTATCAGACAATCCCTTTCCCCCATAATTTCAGAAGCAGTCAGGATGTCCACGTATGTCCAGATAAGATTGAATGGAATCGCATATTCGCAAAAACTATCCTGTATGTTATATGGAAATAATGGGAGTTTAAAAAAGGTACAATGACAAAGCGATTTAAAATTAGTGTATGTTGCCCCATACTGTAGGTACTGGGGTTTTATGGCCAGACAGTGACGAGCTTCACCAGTGGACAATGTCAAACTATCTGTGATCTGTGGACTATAGTGGCCGCTCTCTCAGTGTCTTTGAATCTGATGCTAATGTGATCTGGATTAAATTATCCCAAATAGCTGGAGCACTCAGAAAGGGGCTCAGGTCAACCAAATATAATCAAACCGCTTGTCTAAGCCTTCGTTGCTATCAAATGTTGGTGCAGTGTTGTAAATATGTTACAAACAGAAGAAATGCAGAAAAGGGGGAGGGAATTTGCTCTTGGTGTTCCTGAAAGTATTTGTTTCTTTCCGGTTGTCCTTTCGGAATGATTTTTCTCTCGTGAAAAATTATCTCAGCAGTATATCTGTGAGTTTTGATTATGTGCTTTGGGATTTTTTTTTTGTTTTCCACATCATTTTAGCTATATTGTGTATCTCAAAGACCAGTTGAGTTTAGTGTGGCAGCTAATGTTGTGCGTTTGCTTATCAAACAACAGGGTGGTGTGTATTAAAGCTGTGTAATTAAGTACTAATGTGCAAAAGATTGTAATGTTTTTATATCAAAATGACTATTCATAAAAATGTCGGGTCAAGTTTATACTTTTTTAAATAAAGTAGCACTTCAAAAAAAAACACAAAGAATAGAGCATTTACATAGTGTTTTCTCCCAAAAAGTCATTCATTCTTGAAAGAGACAATGTAAGTAAGAGCTGCGACACAGGAACACTTCTTTTTTTTTTTTTGTAGACTATAGTTATTTGATACTTACAACTGTTCCGAATAACACACACCTAGCTCCACATTGGTGGAGTCACAAACAATGGACAATGGAGTAAAACATGGGAAAGGTTGGAATGCACAATATTTATTTGCAAGAGATGGACCTGCGAAGTTGAGAAACATGATGATGAAATATAGATACAAAAAAAAATGATTTTTGCTTGTTCGGAGTAGAAATAAACAGATTTAAAGTCATTTAAAAAGAACTAGGGCTTTTAACAGCAACACAAACATTGAAGACGTTAATAAGCAAAAGTCTTGCTCCTCCAACTTACTGACTTACAAAAGAACCAGATGTGCACCTGTGTTAGATTTGCATTCTGTGATGTCTGTAGGCATCAATGCTAAAGGGTTCAGCAAATATTCCAGAGGACATTTTTCATTCTAAATCTGGATGTGATTAAGCTCTGATTAAACTGGCTTTGATTAGTTCATACACTCAGGTAGATGAGGAATTGCATTAGAGTTCTTTGTTTACCCTAATTAGCCATTGAAGCTGCAGTCACATCAGCCTTTCACTATGGTACATGCTGTTCCTATGACAACTGCCTCACTGTCATGGTATGGTATTTAAGAATTCCCCTCCATTGAGACAAAATCTCATCGCATTTCACAGTAAGATTACATTAACAACAGATGGAGGAGGTCACAGGGATTTCTCTCTCTCTTTTATTTCATTCATATCCTCTACCAGACCATATGAACTTGTGTTTGTAAAAGTGTAACCCGTTTCCCTACCTCTCTGACTGTGTCCCTGCGTGTGTTTGTGGGTCACAAGCTTGCATCTGACTTGCTCTGGAAAAAAAAAAAATAGGTCATCCTTAAAACAAAAAGGGTGCAGTCAACATAGCAACCGTCTGCTGTTTTTTTATTGGCTGACTTGTTTCCATAGTAACAGGTTAACCTTGAGGCTGCAGTTGCAGACCAGTTTGTTGTCTAGGCAAATCCAGCATGTATGAGGAGCTCTAAGTCAAGATGTCACCAACATTTTACAGCTACAGCAGAACTGGTAAAAAGGGCCTGACTCCTCAGCCCTTGTTTGTTGGAGCAACCTAGTGTGGCTACAACACACTCTTTGTCATCTTGATTTCTATACAATGTACAGGGCCTTTGATATGTATCCACCTCCTTTGAATTATTCCGCACCGTATTAAATATTTTTGAGGGAATGGAGTTCATATCATGTACTACCACTTTAAAATGGGGAAAAAGTGAAATTTCAAAATTTTAATCTATCTAAACTTTTTATTGACGACGTCAAACGAGAATAGAGCATTTTCATTGTACATACTGGATATTTTAACGAGTGTGTGTGTGTGCGTAAGGAATAATTGACGAAGTGCTGTTAAATTATTGAAAATTGATGCACACTAGAGGTTGTATGCAGCCACAACACCAATTAATTCAACACCTCGAGACATGGGCTGCGTTCGAAATCGCATACTCTCCAGCGGAAGTATTTTGTATGCATGTTCTATATTATGAATGTAAGTAGGATGAATGAACACACTACACACTCTTTATTATCATGTGACCTACCAGCGTCCGTTACGTCGCTTCACTGCCCTTCACAAATCCTCTTCCGTGGCCTCATGGAATAGTAAAGTGTCCATCGTATGCACACTACATCTTGCCGGAAGTAGTAGAACCTACTGGGACTTTTTGCCTCCGGTTTTATAGGTACTGTGAATTCGGCCATACTTGATTTTTTTTCGACATATGCATATGTTTTTATTTTATGACCTTTGTCAGTTGCACAATCCTCAGTTGCTACTTCCAAATTATTTTACAAAGGCCTGAGCCATAGATATGCAGTTATGAGAGAGAGATAAAGCATATGTGAATTACTTGAGTGTGGCTCTCAAAAATGTTTAGCAGAAGCAAGTAATAGTCAAGCTGTAAGTTTAAACTTACTGAGATTTGTCATGTAGTAGAACTTTTGTGGAGGCAGTGTTGAAAACAAGTATGTGCAGACGTGTTCCTGAAAAAAAAGTTGCAGATTTTTTTTGCAGATGGTCAGATTCTGCCCTTTTAATAAAAATGTAGCTCCTATCAAGTCAAATAGGTCATATCTGTGAAGTGCTGAAGAGATTATGTTTGGTTAATTTTAGCCATATATATCTACTGGATTAGATGCCCATTGTTTCCAGTTACCAAATTCGTTAAAAGCCTGATCTTAGAAAAGACTTTTCCTCAGTGGACTCAGTGGAAAAGACTTTTCCTCGTTATTGTTAATGCAAGTTTCCTCCATTTTGCTGAAACGGGTGTCACATAAATCTTTTATAACCCTCTACGGCTTTTTCTTACGTACACATTTTTTATCTTGATTGTTAATTATTCCATTTCAGTAGAGCTCTTGTTTGGTTCCTCTCAATGAAGACCCATTTCACCTTCACCCAGAGCTATTAAAGGTAGGGTAATGCAATGTTTTTCATAAACACTTTTGATATATCGTTTGAAACTCTTTTCACGTCCTAGCAATCAATAATAGAAGTGGTCTACATCTGTGCAAGTCTCAGGACCAAAAAATGTTCGTCCAATCATTGCATTTGATCCTAATGCAATAATAGGATTCTCTATTTGCATACTTCTCCACACCCTGGTTGCGCAGACATCACACGTCATCAGATGGAAAGTCGTGATGTTCTCTGAGAGGTTCATGTCCTCAGACTCAGATTTTTGTGTTTCTATGTCAACACTTTTAAATGAAACCCTTTGAAAAAATGGGGTTCTGCCATCTCTTATGACACTTTTCTGAATGTGTTTTGGAGGAGCGCTCTGAAGGTATGGTGGGATTTAATGCTTTCAAAGTTAGCTTGTCATTGCTATCCACTCTGAAATTGCCTACTCTACCATTAACAGTTTCTTGAGCTGAGTGTGCTGTTATTTACTCTCAAGGCTTACAGTTCCACAACAAAAACACATTGAGCTTCATCTTGTCACTAGCTACTAGGGTCATGGCTAGGTCAATGTCTTCTTCTGGTCTTTTATTAAGATTGGAATAACAGTTTGGTTTGATTGTATCTAAATTTTTGAGTGAACATATTTTTACTAAATGCATTTTAGTTTCATCATTGGGGTTTGAGTGCCCTTATTACACATACAAAAGAACAATGAGACAGGAAGAGTGAAGTACTGCCCCCTGGTGTTAAGGCTGCAGATACACATGTCCAATTTGGAGAGAAAACAGCTCTAACTTGCTCCCAGAAAACTCCCTCTTAGCTGTAGAACGATGAAATAGACATTTCTCTAGCAATTGTAAGATAGAAGGTTTGAGGAAAATATATAATGCGTGTAAAGGACTTACACATTATCAAGTGCTTAAAAAAACATGTAACAGGCAAGTGTCCAGTCATTCTTTATTTGTACTTTTACACATGTACAAACTAATGCTTACAAATGTATAAAAGTTACCATTTTGAATTTTGTGACAGTGTTTGATTAGCTAGAATAAGATCAAATCAAACATACTGTATGTGTTTGTTTATTGATAAAACACATTTTATTGTTTTAGATCAAATCATGAAAATACGATTGTAAAATAGTGAATCACAATACTGTGCCTCATAAATGTGCTTGGAAAAACTATTTATGTTCCTGGCTGGCTTTATGAAATTACAATAAGTGTTGATCCTCACTCATCACAACTGCCTGAATTGCTTGAACAAAAGGTCAAACCTCTGAAGAGCAGCTATGTGGTTCTTGCTGTTCTTCATCAATCCACGATGAAGACCCATCTGTCCCAAAGTAACGGTCACCAAAGTCCCCTTTAAGGACAGCAAATACACACCCATAAGATTTTAGTACAGAGTGTAGTTTTTTTCTTCATCTTAAATATACTACGTTTTAAAGATTTGGGGTGGGTCAGAATTTTTGGTAACAATACTATAATGTCCCATTAATTAACATTAGTTAATGCATTAACAATAACTAACAATGAGCAATACATTTGTTACTGTATTTATTAGTCTTTGTTAACATCATTTAAAAAAATAATGTATTAGTAAATGCTGAAATTAATATTAACAAAGGCTTTAGAAGTTTTCATTGCCAGTAAAAACAGTGATATTGTAAAAAATAACTGTATTCTGTTTTAATATATTTTGAAATATCATTTATTCCTGTGATGTTAAAGCTGAATTTTCAGCATCATTACTTCAGAAATCATTCCGACATGATTTGCTGCTAAAGAAACATTTATTTTTGATCTATGTTGAAAACAGTATATGTTGAAAGCAGTTTAATAATTTTGTAGAAACTGTGATGCATTTTTTTCAAGATTCTTTGATGAATAGAAAGTAAAAAGAACAAAACATTTTTTTGAAATAGAAATATTTTTTTTTCATAATTTATAAATGTCTTCAAAGCCACTTTCGATCCATTGCATCCTTGCTGAATACAAATATTTATAAAAAATAAAGTAAAATTCTTGCTTTCGAACGGTAGTGTTTCTCTCAGGACCACTCACCTATCCCTGGGATGAGATGAAGCAGGTCATCTAGGCTCTTGTCCACAGCAGTGGTGATGATTTTGACACGAGGGAAGGCGTAAGCCACTGAGGAAACACCCAATTCCGCCATCAGCAGAGACACCAACACAATCTTGTCTTCCTGGACATCATGGTCCTGTATATACACATACACACAACAACATTAAAACATTCTAACAATGAGTTCTGGCCCCTAATTACTTTATTTCCAGTCAAAAAATGCTTTGTGTAAACATGTCTAAATGATACTGCCCTGCAGGGTTTGCACTTTTTGTTTGTATGAGGTCTACAGCAACATACCAGCAACACCCTCACTGCCATCATGGCTGCCGCTCCAGTAGAAACGGTGCTATCCATCAAAATCAC